TGCAGAACTGGAGAGGATAGGAGGAACGGTGCTTTGCGAGAGCGGAAGCATTATCACATTGTTCGGACATTTGGTTCAAACAAAGGGCGCTGACACAGCTTTAAGACAAACAGGCTTTTAGCAGTATTGGCACATTCTGGAGAACAGAAAATGAAGTTGCATCAAGAATCGTCAAGCTGCCTGATGAGAAGCGCAAAGGAGGCGGTGTCTTGGCACAGAGCAACCCGCTGAGAAAGACTTTGCTCAACATGTTTTCCGATTGCAAACAAACTGAGAATGCATGGTTAGAGTATGGGACGCAGCAAAATCAAGCTTTAAACAAGTGGTATCTGTTTCATAGAACGAGCTCGTCAGATCATTGAATCATTGGCTGACTCATTGTTGCATGTTGTATCTCTTTTAAGGGCCTGTGACCAGTATGTACACTTGAGAAGTTCTGGATTAGCCAAGGCCACCACCGGACAATCTCTCTGCCGCACCAGCAGTTCAAAGACCAAATTCCCTTTACTGACCTCTGATGAATGAGGATGCAAAGGTCCCTTCTGCTTTTACTGTGTTCTTTGGACCTTTAATCGTTTCATGTTCACTCAACATGTTTTCTTTGCTTTTGTCTTTCTTTCAAATGTTGACCTGTCTTTTTCCTTGCACTCGTTTCTGGTCTTTTCTTGCACTTTGGAAGGAGGATGCACAAATGCAATTGCAATACAACATGCTAACCAGCTGCTTAGGAACACGCGGCCTAGATTACAGTCTGATAGAGGAAGGTCTGCTGGCTTAAGAAACTAGACGACGAGTGGCCCGAAAGCATGTTTCATCACGTAGGAAGTCAGAGTGTGAGTTACCTGTTAAGTGTTCAGTGTGAAGTGTTTAAGTCGAGTGAGTTGAGGTAGTGTGAGGGTCTCTGTGTGTGTATCTATGTCCGTGTGTATATGAGTCTGTGTATGTGTGTGTGTTCGAGTAAGTTGAGGCAGTGCGTGGGTCTCTGTGTGTGACGCGGCCTCCCAAACCCCCCACCGGCGGCCAAGCGGTGACAGCCCAGCTCATCGTCATGAGCATTTAAGCTGCTGGTAAGGGGAGAAGCAGCGTGCACGCCTCCAGGAAAGCTCACTGAAAAAAGCGAGCTGGAATGAACACAGAAAATGCTGAGGCAGCCACGCAAGAAGTGTCTCGAAGCAGTGACCTGTCAGAGGAGATGCGTCCATCGATATACGATCAGAGGTAACATTTCCTTCACTCCAGGACACAGCTTTTCTAGGATGTAGTTCACCAACCACTATGCTTGTCATTGACTAATTGACTGTCTCAAAGAAAAACGTGACAAAGTAGCATGAAGTGACACACAGCAGGCACTGTAGATGTTTTAGCGTACTCTCGCTGTTCAGCTCGCGACTAGTCTTTGTACACAGAAAAGATAGTGTATGTCTAGTACTCGTTGCGCTTCCGCAGAACGACGTCCACACAGGATTTGTCAGGAAGAAGTCACGGTATGAGACATGCAGTTGGTTATCACGTGAACACCTTTTTTTTATCCATCTCCATTCAGGGTCTTTGCCTGGTCTGGGTCTAGCGCGTCGACCCGAAGCAGATCTGGATGGTGCAGGCATGTGTGAAGTTGCGGCTGTTGTTCCTCACCCAGTCTTCCCATCCACTGGACCACCTGATCACTCGCCAAAACTGCCAGGTTTCTCCATGGGCAGCCCAGTGTCTGGTTTCTATGGACTGGTTTGGCCATCTTTCATGGATGAGCTCTGGCTGGTTGTCCTGCTTCCATGGGACCAACAGAGGCACACCTGTCTCTGGTCATCATGGGCGATGCTGAAGAAGTGGTCGTCAACAATGCCAAGGTTCCCTGGCATGATGGCTGGGCAAAAAGGCAGACCTACGAGCTAGTGGGCTGCAAATTGGTAAATAGCACACGCGTAGCCATAAGAAGGCTCTGTTTGCTTTGTAAAGGTTTATGTGGGAAATGAATATTGCAAAAGCTTGTGGGGCGCGTTGAAACTTCTTGCAAGTATATTCTTCGTTGCTGTTGAGTTGATATTTTGGTGGTTGGCCCAAGTTGCGCCTGGAAACCTTCTCTGGCCATCAAACATGCGGCCAGTGCCGCTGGGCTACGATGTATGCCACCGTAGCAATGGAAGAGCACGACTTGTTTCCGCCCCAGCATGGCACGCCTGGCATTCAAAGTGCGTGCGATCTCTGACCATACCCGACAGTTCCTTTGGGCCTGCTGCGCGTACAGCGTCGGATCTTTGGTGACTTTGACCGTGAAATCGTCCAGAGCGTACACACATTGTTGGGCACTGTGCAGAGCAGCCATGGTCAGTGCGCCGCATGCCTATTGACGAGAAGCTTATGGGGTGTGTTGAAACTTCTTGCAAGTACATTCTTCATTGCTGTTGACTTCCTGTATGTTCCCGGCTACGATCTGGCGCTCGCTGACCCTAGTTCTGTGGAGACTTGCGCAATCTCACTTTGACTACCAAAGGTCTGCTTGAACCGCCGCGCACAATTCCAGGCTACGCAAGTAGTTCTGAAGCTCACACATTGGATGTCACAAAGCAAGACACTGAACACATGTAGGTGCCTATAGTGCTTAGGGCAGGCTTGGTGTAGGCTAATCATTCAGCACATGGTCTTTGCACAAGTTAAATGGTTACATTTTGGCTCAAGGCTAGCTTTAGCCAAAATAGCTTTGTGGAGTGAAACTCTAAAAGAGAACCTCTCTGCTCAGCTTTTGTCCCTCCTCTCCCACCCTGTAATGTCCGTCATCGACTCCCCTGTCGTGAAATGTGAGGAAGATCCTACACCTGAGAATCAGGTCCATGCTGATGCATGGATACCAATGCATTTGGCAGAAAGCCTTTGACTGGAGTTCAAGCGAAAGGAAAAGGGAGCGTAGTGCAAGCCATTGACTGAATGTATACATGTCTATTTCTGTGGTTCTCTCTCTCTCTCTCTTTTTCTTTTGTTCATTTGTATTCATTTGTTCTGAAGGTGCTCGCATGACTTAGAGTGAGTCTGCTGTACTTCAATCCGATTGCCCAGCAGCGCCGCATTGTCGGCAATGGAAGCGTCATGCAGGGTTGGCGGCAGAGAGGCAGCTGGGATACTTGTTCCTCTATGCTGCACACGATCAATGTATTGAATGTTTACAATTCTACGCTCCACATGTGAACGTAGCCTGTAAGTCCAGTGGCAAGGATGCGCGCGCTTGGGCGAGCGCCGAGGGAACTAAGGCTGTGTCACAGGATCTCGAGGCACTTTTTGCCACATGGGACCTTTGACTTTGATTTAGCATCAGGCAGTTGGGCCGCAGTCGAGAACGTTGGTCTGCGGATTCGATCAGCGGACTTACTACTCTTCGCAGACAGACCAAGGAGCTTGTGTCAAAAATAGAGCTCTCTTTTGGAAGGTATAAACAAAATGAAGCTTCTGTCAGAGATTAGAGAATGCATATCTAGTATATTTACTCTTGAATCAGAATAAACACATGACTCTTTTGAACCGGGTCTCAGCATGAGACTTCAAGCAGAATGAACACACACAAGTCTTTTGAAAACTATCCCAGCGCGTGACTTTTGACCATGCAGGTTGGCTATATGCGGAGACTGCGCTAAAGAGGTCGGGAAGACCGAAACGAAAAGAGATTTCAATCCAAAGATATAGTCTGATGACTGTGCTTGCTGTTGTGATCCTGAGATATAGAGATGTGTTTTATGTGATGCCACGTGTCACCAGCGAGCGCAAGGCGGGCTCAAACACAAGGGCACAGTAACATTGACGTTGTTCAGCGGATTTGTTGTTCAGTTTACTGGAGGCGCGCACGCTGCTTCTCCCCTTACCAGCAGCTCAAATGCTCACGACGATGAGCTGGGCTGTCACCGCTTGGCCGCCGGTGGCGGGTTTGGGAGCCCGCATCACACACAGAGACACACGCACTGCCTCAACTTACTCGAACACACACACACACACATATACACAGACTCATATACACACGGACATAGATACACACAGAGACCCTCACACTACCTCAACTCACTCGACTTAAACACTTCACACTGAACACTTAACAGATAACTCACACTCTGACTTCCTACGTGATGAAACATGCTTTCGGGCCACACGTCGTCTAGTGTGACGTGTTCAGTCTAGTGTGTCGGGTCCATCTCTGTGTGTGTGTCTATGTTGTTTTGTTAAGTGTGGCGTGTTCAGTCTAGTGTGTCGAGTCTGTGTGTGCGTCTCTGTATGTGTGTCTATGTTGTTAAGTGTGACGTGTTTTTCAGTCTAGTGTGTCCAGTCCGTCTGTGGATCTGTTAAGTGTTCAGTGTGAAGTGTTAAGTCGAGTGAGTTGAGGCAGTGTGTGGGTCTTACGCACGATCTCCGCAGAGGGTTGCGCGGGCACAGGCCAAGTCGCACTCTCGCCTGCATTTCGCGCACATGACGCGCACGATCTCCGCAGAGGGTTGCGCGGGAACAGGTCAAATCGCACTCTCGACTGCCTTTCGCGCACTCGACACGCACGATCTCCGCAGAGGGGCACGCGCACACACCCAATCGCACTCTCGCCTGCATTTCGCACACTCGACACGCACGATCTCCGCAGAGGGTTGCGCGCGCACAGACCCAATCGCACTCTCGCCTGCATTTCGCGCAACACGCACGATCTCCGCAGAGGGTTGCGCGCGCACAGAACCAATCGCACTCTCGCCTGCATTTCGCGCAATCGACACGCACGATCTCCGCAGAGGGTTGCATTTTCGGTTGACGCTGTTCGTCCCACCCTCCGCCTTTAAGAGAGAATTTATAAAGTGGGGAAATGTTTTTCATTAGGACATCTCCCGTGCAAGTTTTTTCCAATACATGCATACTCATTGCATACTCATGAATACTTGCCGTTGGATACTACTTGCATCCTTTCACTAGGATACTTGCCGTTGGATGCTTACACTGGGGTACGTATAGAAGTGTAAGTGTTCATGTTCATGTTTGTTCATGTTCATGTTCAAGTGTAAGTGTGAAAGCGTCAGCGTTCAAGTGTACGTCTCGCAATGTCACTGTTCAAGTGCAAGTGCGGAAGTGTCAGTGTGTGAGTGTGAGTGTAGAAGTGTCAGTGTTCAAGAGATTTTCCGGAAGAACCCTTCGCAATGCTTTCGGGAAAAGAAAGGCAAAAAGGAAGAAAGGTCAACACAAAAAAACGGAAGGATGTCAAACAAGGAAAGCCAAAAGGACCTTTGCATCCTACCAAAGACAGAAACAAAACAAAACAACATGAAACTCTTACGACTCTTGCCTCTGTCGGTGGACATCGGTGCTCCTTGTCAGGGTCCTGTGCCGCTGAAGGGTTTGAGTGGAAACTTGAAAAATTATATAAAGCTTCAACTGTAAGGCCTCTCTCTTTTCTCTGCTGCTTGCAGTTGACACAGCTATTGGCCTATGGCCTCGACCCGGTGATGAGGAGCAGGGCCGGGTAGGGAGGGTCACTTGAGCGGAGAGCGACCATCGAACAGCTTTAGTCTCTCAAAGCTTCAACTGTAAGGCGCTCTCTCTTTTCTCTGCTGCTTGCAGTTGTCACAGCTATTGGCCTATGGCCTCGACCCATATCTCCCAACAGCTCAGCCTCATGGCTTGTCTCGACTCATCACCGGCCACCACAGTGTTGTAGGAACATTTGCTCGTCTCAAAACTTCAGCTTTCTGAAGAAACAACTCTTGCAAGGGCAACAACAAAAAGCTGTTTGTACCCAATGTATCCGACGGAAGAAGTAGATCTTTCCGAAGAGCTCCAGTCATTTCTGATGTCCTCAAGAGAGCGCCCCATCCGAGCGACAGTACGCCAGCCACCTCAACCCAACCCCATGCGAGTGCAACGCTGAGCATCGCCAAAACGATTTGCCAGGGCATTGCTATGTGATGCACAGGCCTTTCTTCGCGGACCCATGCAAAAGCCAAATCCCATGCGGGTTGAAGCTGTCTTCTCAAAACAGGGCGGAACGACACAATGCTGTTTATGGATTCAACGTATGTTCCATAAGGCTTCCCAGCCTCGTACAAGCGCCGACCAAAAAGCTGAAGCACTTTGTTGATGGTTTCAACATTTTTTAAGGGCTCATCCAGCAAACATTGTATGTTCCAACCTGCTCTGGCGCACCATCCAAAAAGTTCTCTCAAGAGGCGATCTCTATTCCCGGCTGTCACTTCAGTAACAGGACGTCCAACAGGCAGCGGTGGCTTCAAACGTCGTGCTGACTGCCTAGCCCAGTCTCCAGGTGTGCGCGGGGCTATCATGCCATGGCAAACTACCGGGCCGGCTACGAGGACAGACAAGGAGATGACAGGAGGACAGGGGGCATGAAGTAAGAGAGAGACAAATCCAAGGAGAATGCTAGGAACTGAGGAAGGAGGCCCTTCCCCAGGAAAGCCGAGAGTGCAATCGAAATCCAAAACTCCAAAGTTGAGCCGAGAGTCATGAGGAAGCCACTCAGGAAGGCCAGCCACAGAAGTCCACTGCAGACCATGACAACGTTGGCCAGGTTTTCCAAAGGGCAAGCCATGGAATCCGAACAACCCAAGTGTCAACCTCAACCAATTTGATGCCCAACGTCTCAAGCCCTTTGAAGTAGCAAGGAATCTGATATCATGCTCGTCCATCGCAGAGAAATCGACGTTCCCCAGACTCTGCCGAAGGTCATGATCCCGAGTGGGATCGTCTGCCGGGTTGTGCCTTGTCGGCACAAAAGGTAGAGTAAAGTACAAACCTCCTGCAACAGAAAGAGCTCCAAACTTCCGCAAGAAGGGTGACAGCGCAATGCTAGAAGACCTTCCTTTAGAAGCAGCACATCTGATCACGTAGGAGTCGACGAAGTTGACAACTCTCAAAGGGCGAGGGACGCCGATCAAACGCTCAGCTAATCTGACTACACTCTTCATCTCCAAAACATTGATATGCCTTTCCGTCTGAAAAGACCATGCTGACCGGGCCTTCCACGAAGAGGATGTGGCTACCAGATTGACCAGCTGATTTTCTAGGCCGTCGACTGGCCCAGCTTCTTCAGCTTGGAAAACATTCTTCCTGGCAGCGACTGCTTCAGCAAAACAGGCAGCAATCTCATGGGCAAGCTCGTGGGTGTATGATGCTGATGCCTTTGCGTACCTGCCCTCCACAGGGATGTGGCTGTGGTCTCCACTGCAGCGTCTGTTTAGCCTATCTATGCCAAGGTGCACGGCAATGAAGCGAAAACTCTTGAGATGTATTGACCCAAAGGCGCAGGAATCAGAGCGCATCGTTCTCACTCCGGGCTTCTCCTCCAAAGCTCTCCAACTTGGAAGAAACCTCATCATAGACGACCACGGCTGCTCACCTAAGGCAGGCACACCATAGCGGTGGGCAAGGAAAAGGAGAGTCAATGCCCTCAACGCCAGCACGTTTCCAAGATGAGTCTTGGGATCACGAGGGTCAAACCCAAGAGGAACAGAGCTAGATCTCAGCCGAGGCCGACGAATGATTGAAAATGTAGTGCACACCGGCTCAACCATCAAGCTACCAAGGAGTCCAGAGGTGACCATGTAGGAAAGCCAGCCAATCACTCTCACCAAGGACAGGTCAAGCTCACCACTGTAAGCTATATCGACTGGTGGCCCAACGACCAGGCCCATAGATGAAGCTGCACTCGAGACTCTTGCGGACCCTGCATAAATTTCTATGAAGTCAAACTTGAAGGCTATAGGTTTCACAGGCCTCTGGCCTGAAAAAGCAGCAGGAGGGGCATTGCCATCCTCTCCAACATCCTCAGCAATACCAAGTCGTTCAACCAGGAGCTCATAGTCAGTCTTGAGGCGCGAGTATGCCCCCTTTGTTCTGCAACACCGCCAAAGCTCTTGTGCAACGGAAGGCAGTGTGGTAGTAGACACAATGGCACCTTTTGTATTGGAGGCGTCCGTAGCAAAGATCTCCTCAGAAAAATCAGCAGCAATATCAGACACCATGAGGGGAGCCAAAACGCTCATGAGGCATAACTCATTCGCCACAGATCTTGGAAGAGCAACTGTCTTGGGCGCATCCGCATCAACATTGGCAGCATTCACAAGCTTGTGTACTGCGGTGAGGAGGCTCATGAAAGGCCTGCGATACAAAATCATCGAAGTCCAGCCACCAAGAAGACACAGGTGAAGAGAGTCCGTTGTAGCCGGTAGTTGAGAAGGTCACCCAGCTAAGACTCAAGCGCTTCCCAATCGGCGATCCAACAGAAGTGATTCCACGACGGGCAGCATGGTCGTTGGAGTTGATCTCGGCTCCTATAACTCTAGCCCTCTTTTCGCCAATGACATCCTTTTGTGGAGAGCCGATCAGGTCGTACTTTTTGTACACCGCCTGACTCTGGGAGAAACATCTTGCTGCAGCACTTTGCTCAGGAGCTAGACGGCGTGGTTCTCGAGAAATGGCAAAATAGTCATCAATCACGAGGCCATCTGCTAAGGGCCCCCCTCTGAAAGGCCTGTTTGCAACCAGCCGTGTGGATCTCGACAGGAGGCCCTGAGACTGCAAGACACTCTCATGAGAAGCTGTAGCAAATTCAACGCCTCCATGATCTCCCTGGAACAACGATTTGAAGCATATGAAGATTTCATCGCTCAACAGTGAAGCACGCTTCTTATCAGAAGGCTCACGCAGCAAGTGGAGTTGATCGCCCTCGACCTCCCGTGTGCGCTTCACTTTCTTCTCGTTGGCTTCTCTAGAAAGCATCTCACTGTAGGCGTGTAAATCAGCAACATCAGCAGCAGTCACTGGAGGACCAACCGCATTGGCCGCAGCTTTGGCGTCTGTGACAGCGAACTGATGATAAAAATCACTTCTGTCTGTGCAGTAGATGAATAGGGCCTCCTTCCTCCCATCGAGATGGAGGTCTGTCAAGTCAGGTCCAGCGGGAAGATGCCTCGAGGGGCCATACACCTTTGCTTCCTGATAGTTTCTTCCACGACGGTCGCCGATTTGACGGTCACACTCCTCATTTTTGAAGTTGTTGAACACCCTTGTAAGTGACTCAGCCTCAACTGGACCTCTTCGCAGGAAGAGCAAGCCTCTCGCATCCCATATTTTTGCCAGCTGAATAATCTGCGTTGCATCATCTGTCATGATGGGGAAGTCTCCGTACTGGGGCTGTCTATCACACAGAATCAAATCTGGCATCCTGTAGGCCATGAGCAGCTCATCACCCAGATGTGGAGTAGCGTCAAAACAACCATGACCCTTGACGCTGAGTCTGTTTGCATCCAGCGGCATATAAGGCTGAAGCTGAGGAAGGACACTGTTGTTCAGGGGAACTTCGTGGCCATGGTAAAAATGGCTATAGGGCCCTGCAGCTCCAAGCTTGGTCACATAGTCAGATATTTCTCCCAGTCGTGCAACTAATTGAGGAAATCTTCGACCACAGGCCAACACCTCAAAGGTGCCGGAATCAGGGCCGTCAGCCGCTAAAGCATTCATCAACTTTCTGTATACGGTCCGATGGGCCTTTGATGGATGCCTCGTCAAAAGCACCTCGTTGGGGAAACTCCTCAAACCTCCATGCCAAAAGTTCAAAGCCATCACCAAAACATGAAGGGTCCTTTTCAGATGAAGGCGACGTCGGCGATGAAGAGAGATGGATGACGGCATCCTTTGGAACACTCCAGGAGACGGAATGGGCAAAGGGAAAAGCGGCGAAGTCGAAGTCACAGAACTCCGAGGCAGATGCAGAGTAGTTTTCAAAAATGCTGCAAATGGCGTCCTGGTCCTCAACACATTTCGAAGCAAACCAGAGCACCACTTCCAAAAAGACAACGTCGGAGGAACACCAGCTCTTTCATGCACATTGAAAGAATCTTTGCCAGGACCAGAACCATGTCCAGAATGATCACCAATGCCCCAGCCACCACTATGGTGCATTTCCCCCTTTCGAAGTTTGAAGTCACCATTCTCGGAGTAGGGGGCGGGCTCATCGACAGGCAAGTAGTTACCTCCACAAAAACAAATTCTGGAATTCTCCGGAGCAAGAGGCCTATGAGTCCTCTTGCACCTCATGCACTTGAACTCATGTTTCACTTCTCCCCCTCCTGCGCCTGCTTCGGGCGCTTGGGAAACCTGGGCTTCCGGCGAGGGGAATCTTGGTTCACACCTTCTGAACTTGTTCCTTCCTTTGGCACAGGACCTTTCTTGGCCTCGGGTTTCTTGTTTGCCAAAACCTCCATGTCCTTGATGTAGCTCAGGGTCGCTGCTGACCACACTGGAGGAATAAGAGGACTGAAGGGTCGTCCTGTAGCCATAATAGCCGCTGCCCTCTCTTGAAAAAGCTGAATGGGAAGCTCCTCGTGCAGGCTTATCAGGTAGGCTACTGACCACTCCCCATTGTCGCAATTCGCCTGCTCGATTGCCATAGCCAGGAGGGCAATGATCTCCTTCACCCCCGCAAAATCGTCTTGGGCAGCGGCATCCACCGCATGGCCCAGAATCCATTGGATAAGTCCCAAGGTCTTCTGGTTTCGGTAACCTCCGGACTTCGATAGGTACTCCAGCATGGAGATCGACCCAACTTCTTCGACCGACCTTGGCAGTGTTCGCCCCGGGGTCAGCTTCTTGTGGATCTGCTGCATGAGGAGCAAAAAGAAATTGCCTGTCCGACTGGCCAACTCTGACTGCAGCTTCTCTCTTCTCTGTACCCCCTTCATTGAAGAGGAGGTCGAAAAGTAGCCGGATTGGAGGTCGGTCAAACAATCGCTCGACTGATTCGCAAAATGAGCCACCAGCGCTGTGAGGGCATTCGACTGTTGACTCAGTGCATTCACGATAGCGCCATGGTTCCCATCGCCTGCATCTAACCCCAGGAGAACAGCATTGGGATCTTCTGGAGCCTGAGGAGCAAGAACCTGCTTTGTCTGCACCTTTCCCAACTGGGTTCGAGGAGGAGGACCAATCAACTGCAAAGCCTTTGGCACGTCCACAGGAGGGCCACCCACGGAAGCGAGGCCTTCTGATAAGTCCGGCAGCCTGTTGACATTGCCACCGGATGGAGCGACGGCAGCGCCTGCAGATAAGGGGCCACCTCTGTCTTCTTCTCCAAAGCATCCTGTCGAACAGACAGGCTTTGCAGCTGAGCCATCATCATGTTCATCTGATCCAAAAGAGCGGCATTCGAAACCCTCTTCGCTGCAGTAGCCTTCTTGGGAGGAGCTCCAGACTTCTTGGCTGCCACACCCGGGTCTTCTTGAGCCGAGTAAAAACCAGAAGCCTCATCCGTTCTCTCACGCAGCCACTGCTTCACCTTCCCCAGGAGCGCCTCCAAGTCAGGAATACATGCTGAGTGCTCTGAGTGGAAGGGGCAAATGTCGTGATCACTGTCCGTAACAGGGTCATAGGCTCTGCTATAGAACAAGATCTCATCCGTCACATCAATGGCCATCACCGGGCCACTCATACCCAAGCTGACAGGAGCCCCTGTCTCATCCTCTTCAATCATAGGCACGTTCAAAATGGTGCCAATGCCAAGCCAACTAGGAGTCATGTCAGGCGACTCACTCTCACTGATCAAGCTCTCATCCAAAGCACCGTGGGGGACCGCAAATGAGGAAGCCTCCATCGCGCGGGATGAGAGGAATAGCAAAAAGCTCAATCACTGATTCCACAACAGGCGGAGTAAGAGCGATGACAATCAGTGAATAGTCATCCCTCACCGCCGCAAACCTCACCTCTGAGCGCTGCATTGATACAGTGGAGGAGTATCAATGCCGTACGAGGCGCAGAAGATCTGTACCTCAGTCAACGATGCAAAGCCTTGGTAACACGGCTCCTCAGCACCTGGAGGGATAGAGGCAAGTAGCTGGCGAAGGTCTCCAAGCTTTCTGACTCTAATCGGCCCCGTAGAGCGAGGATGATTTGCAATGATCCACTGAGTATCTGACAAAGAGATGGCCTCTGCACGGGAGTAGGGCGAATGAGTGCTAACTGCTGCCCAAGCCCAAAAAACCTGCACGCCAAGCTCGAACAACTCTATCTCGTGGATCTCCTGCGGCTGACGAGAGCTTTCCTGCAGCAAGGGTCAACAAATCACTTGGAACGGGCTGTGGGCCGTCCTCAAACACACGACGGAACTGAAGTGTGACCTTGAAGGGCTGCTCAGAGATGGGTTCAACCAACTCCCAACCAGCAATGGAGACTGTAGGAGATGTAGGAGTCGAAGAGGTCGATGTTGCCAATCTCTCAAGAGCTATACTTAGCCTGTTCAGAGCACCAATGAGCAAGTCAATGTCACTCTTGGTGATCGGGAGGCTCATCCACTATTCTGAATACGCTGCCAGTCGTGCCCTTCTCTCAAGACCTGCCGGCCTATCAGGAGGGGAAGGGGATCGGAACCCCTGAGATGCCTGGTGCCAAAAGGGGCGGAACTGCAAGGAAAACCAGTGAAGTGCCAGCACAAAGATGCAAGCGAAGGCCACAAGTAATCCTAAGCAAAATCCAAGGGCTATCCAGGGGAGGCAGCTAGGAGAACAGTGAAAGGGACAAGTAGCAAGCGAGGAAAGATCGGACAGAACCGACGCGAACTCCAAAACGCGCTGGAAGCTAAAGCCCTGCATTCACTTGAGCGGAGAGCGACCATCGAACAGCTTTAGTCTCTCACCACCCAAAAAAGAGTGATGGCCTCCAACCACATAGCAGCGATGGCCTCCAACCTAATAGCAATGCCCTCCAACCTACTAGCAATCAATGGCCTCCAACCCAATAGCGATGGCCTCCAACCTAATAGCGATGGCCTCCAACCTGTTACCAATGGCCTCCAACCTACTGGCGATGGCTTCCAACCTGATATCAATGGCCTCCAACCCAATAGCGATGGC